ATTATGGACTGACCATAAATATCATGAAATCCTACATCTGATGAAGGCAAAACTGTGGAAATCAGATCTACATGTATGAAATAAGTATATCTGAACTTGAGTCATATTGTATTTAACAATTATAATTATTCAGTCCTTTAAAATTTTGGGACCTCTCATAGGATAGGATTTTATTCATTACAGGGCTTGGGCAGTACCTCCAGTCGCTTGCAAAAATCATGATCACAAAATTGAAAACTATCATTTTCACCAATTATTACTTTTAACTTGTATACCATGACAAGTTCTGGGCCTATTTTGTTTAGCTTAGATAGCTAATACAGTAATAGAGTCAGTGTACCCGGTCCCGCACAGGACCCGGTCCCGCACACTTTCCCATTTTTCATTTTTTCTTTAAAAAAATCAAATGAATTTATTTAGTTTTCATTTGTGTTTCACTGAACTGGCATGTTTGCAACAGGATATGACATAATCTGGGATCTTGCACCAAAGCCTCTCCCTAGACAGTGCAGACGATATTGTCAATACATGTACATGGCTGTGTAGGTCACACATAAAAACAACTTATTCAGCAATTAAACCATGCTAATTTCTATTTTAATGTTAAGATCATTATAAAATATATATTGGAAAAGAAATGTATGTTTTTGTTATGGCAAATTTGCTGTTAGTTATGAAATATATACACATGAATTAACTTCTCCCAACTACCAAACGTTAAGTCATTTCACCTTGATTCTTTTGTTTAAAATGATACCAAACTTTTAATCGAACAAATCATAACTATACAGATGAAAAAACCTTCAATAATAATGTTTTATGTCTGTCTTTACTACCTACAAGTGGTAAAAAGTATATTTCAATTGCTGCTTCATGATTCCTGTGTGCTACTATGCTTGGAAATAAATGTTTGTATACTGTACGCAGTAAGAATGTGCATTAAATTTATTTGAAGTCCTGAAAATTTGCAAAGAAATATAACTTATCTTGACTTAGAGATGTTAAATAATTTATAAAACATGTTTAAGATGTAAAATAACCTTTCAGTATAAAATGGCCTTGTGTGCGGAACCGAGTCCACTATTTATCATATTTGGCCCATTCCCGTTGCTTAAAATCAAGTGCGCCTAGAAGTATGACCTACTTAAGATAGAAACGTTTCGGTAATAAAGGATGTAATTTTCAAAATAATATCTATTGTAAGAAGAATTTTTAACTATAAGATAATTTTCTTATTTTTACTTAAAAAAGTGTACGACTCCGGGGGTGTTTGGACTTTACACCTCCTGGATGTTTCACCCTTGGACGTTTCACCTTCAAAACCCAGGTCTTTTCACCTCCACTTTTTAAATTTGATAAATATATGAAATAAATACCATTATGGGTTATAATATTATATATAATATAAACATACTTGCAAACAATTACATTCATGATATAAAGAAGATTTTTTTGACATAAATATAGTGAAATTTCCCTGGAAAAATAATTATAAATATGAGTTCTGAAAGAATTATCAGCTATAAGTCTACATGTATGTATTATTTCATTTTTTTTTTGTTATCCAAAAATTAAATACCATAAAAAATATTGATTAATTAAAATATGTTTTTATATAACAGATAAGAACAATTAGAAGTGTGAAAGAATTTTGAATAAAGCATTATAAACACTGGCTTATTAATTACTTAATTAGCACCTTTAGAAGTGTGTAACTTATAGTTCTCTGTAACAAATTTGTGAAAATTTAATTGATTTGTCAGATCAAAGTACCTTTTTTAAATAGAATAGATTAAAGAAAATCAAAGGCCAACAATTGATACATAATGTATACTTTCACAATGTTTGATTCTGTGTATCTTTGTGCTTCTTGCTCTGAATTTGTGTTAGATGATGATTTAGCAGTTTCTTGTGATGGATGTAATTCTTGGCAACAGATTGTTTGTAATTCAGGTGAGTGATAATATTATCTTTTAAGATACATTTTATTTGTCATTTTTTATGTTAATTGACTTAAAACAAGATAGATACATTTTTCTAAGTACCTATATACAAAATTTATTTTAAAATAAAATATAAAATGTAATGCTGTATGGATTATGAGAGCTATTAATATTGAACTGCTATTTGCCTGCTGCACCAATGATTTTATGATAGCATTACTCAAAACAAAAATATAGATACATTTTTATACCCTACAAATTAATGCACAATTTTACATGTTAGCATTTGTCTTTTTTTGTGATTTTAGAATTAAGTGATAGTCTTAATTAGAAACAAATACAAAATCCAGAACAGGATATATAGAAGAGTTGCAAATGTTAGATATGTTTAAATATGTGATTAAAATTAGTAAATTGTTAAAACATAAAATCTTTAGCCATAAATAGCCTTAACCCTTTACCACATATATACGCGAAACACCGCAATTTCGACCCCCCCACCCCCATTTTAGGTCTGAAATAGTGAAAAATGTCCTATTTGGACCCAAAACACATGGTTTCGTTCGAGAAATGTTGCTAAAAAAAGTGAGCACTTTTTCGGCGCCGCCCCCATCCAAAAGATACATCAGGGGGTTGCCAGAAGGGGAATGTGCCCCCTTCTGTTTGGGGGGGGGGGTTGAAGGGGGCGGAGTCCCCCTCATCGCCAAGAAAATTTTGGACTTGTGTGAGGCTAAAAATTACCCCAGGTCGATCATAAGGTAACGTGTAACCAACGCTGAAAAGCCTTTGACTCTATCTCAATCCCTTGAGAAGTTGCAGCACTTCAAAATAAATTTTGATTGAAAAAATCGAGGCAAAATAGTGATTTTTGTCAATTTTGAGATGTCCCCTCGTTGCCATGGTAACAGGAAATTTAATACTGAGCATGTTGTTACAAAGGCAATGGTCCAGTCAACATTTGTGCCAAGTTTGATTAGTATTGAAGCATTTTTTCATAGTTTCATAGCAGTTTGAACTTGTTACAGGAGGCTTTTCCGTGAAAACGGCCATTTTTCACAATATGCTCATGGTAGGGGAAAGGGTTAAATCATCTATCCCAGTCCCTCATAAAACAGTAGGATGTGGACCTAACTATAATACACACAGATGGGGCTGGCACTTTAGTTGAAGTTAACAAGCTGTGTATATTGGGAAGCGTGATATATTACATTTTATTGAATGAAAATAAGTTGATAGTTTAGGAGTTCATTTACAGTGAAATATATATATTTTTTTTTAATTTGTTATTTCGATTCGATATTTTGCAGTGACATGAAATTTTTTATAACATTTATGAAATTGTAATTATCCTTCATAAATAGTTGAGTTTGTCTTCTCGCACTCATAATTATTTTCTAAAAATTTCATTTATTGCAAAAAAACAAGAATAATTTTAATAATAAATAAACATACCTTCACAAACAAAATGTTTTTTTAAAACTCTTGTGATCTCTCTATGTTTATAATTACCCCAAAAATAATGACTGAGACAATGTAAGAAATATACCAGATACATTGTTTTATTGCTGAACATCAGTCATTTGTATCATGACGTTCTCTGATAAAACCAATTAAACACCATTGAAATCATAAATGTTCTTAAATGTGAGAACAACAAAGGTTTCATTTTCAGGAAAAAACATTTATAATCATTTACGCTGTTTTTACATAAAAATAATATTAATCATGAGGTGAAAGTTTTGTCTGTAAGACTGACGTATCTCTATATACGTGGTTTTTGCAAATAGAAAATAAACTGATTTTCAGATTATTGTTTCTGCAAAAAAAGCTTGTCTGTATTTAAGATGTTCTAGCCTAAAATTGTTAACAGTATACTTTTAAAAAAAATGGATCTGCAAGAAGACTGTAACTTTAAATGAGTGGTTTTTGCACCGAAATATTATTTATATGGAATAGAAAATGATCTTCATTTACGTGGTTTTTGCATATACCCCTCGATATAGGTATAACACACCGGGCATATAGAACGCTGTCACAGCTGGCCTTGACATTCCATTCAAGTGTATTACCTGTAGCCAACTTGAGCTTAGAGAGCTGAACACTGTTTCAAGAGATGATGATGTTGACTGTGTGGACATGGACATTGATTCCAACAACGACCTCAACGAGTCTGTAGAAATTCCACCTCCACCAACACCTCCACCAGTTGTGTCAGAAACTATCGTAGATGATGCCCTAGACAACAGTGTTTGTGTTCCCACTGAGCCCGAATCACAGACTGAGATTGTGGAAAACACTGCTGACTGTGGTCCACTTTCCACATCCATCATAGAAGATGAACCAGTCACGTACACACTAATGCCAACCGGCACTAAGAAAGATGGTCCATTTGTTGTGTCATACAGCCATCTGAAAACCCTGAAGAAAAGATGGAATTGTGTGGCGTTGTCATATACGTAATAAGGTGAATCATAGCCAAGCCAAGGTGACAAGCTCTGGTGATAATTACAGAAGGGGATTAACAACACACACTCATGAGCCTGACCCAAGTCTACTGTACAAGAAACAGCTCGTTACGAAGGTGAAGTCAGAAGCTAGCCATCACATTTTTCATTCGGCACGAGACATTGTCAAGTCAGCCATGAGTGACAAAGGTCAGCGCCCAAACGTAACTTCAGCAAACAGCCTACAGTGAACCGCCAATCGACAACGTGAGAGAATGAGACCGAAGAATCCTGTAGATTTAAACTTCGAAGTTGATTACGAGTATCTTGGCGCGAAGGATTTCATTGTGGGTGATCTCAGAGTCGATGATCAACGACACATCATATTTGCTACACCAAAGCAACTGGATCTTCTGCCGCACTACTAAACGCTGGTTTATGGATGTTACATTTAGGGTAATTATACTTTTTCTTTATACATACTTTATTTTAAAAACATGATATTGAATTTGATATAATGTACTGACTATTGAAAAACCTTTTATATATACATTGTTGAAAGCACAAGAACTTGTGAGCAAGGGGAGTCCAGACACATTTACCCACTGTTCTTTTAATTTTTACAGTTATTTTCAGATATATATTTCAATTACTATATTCATACAAAAACTTGGATTTTGCTGGAACATATAGATGCAAATATGATCTAAACTGACTGAAATGAATTGTTAATAAAAAAAAGTGTTTACAGATATTAGATGCGCCATTCAGAGGTGGTCAACTGTTGTCGATTCATGGGTTTGTGCGTACTGATGAAGCCATGGCGCAGCTACCACTACTTCGTACTTATGAGTCGACGTAGCAAGGATGATTACATTGCTGTCCTTCAAAAGACCCGTGACATCCTGGGAGAACACATTTCTGTAGAGGGATTTGTGCTTGATTTTGAAGCTGGTAAGTTTGTTGGACAAACAACTTATAAATTTATATGTTTAGTACTGATTTTTATGTAAAAATGCAGGATCCAAGTTGTTGATCATTGTAGAATTAAAGGAATAAGAAACTGTGATCCCTCAGAAGCAACAAAATGTACGAATGAACAGTTTAACACACCATCAGTCTATAGAAATACATGAACATGTTGCAGTTATATATTATATAATATATATATATAATATTCCATTAACTTATCAAGTGCTATTGTATATAAAAAAAAAACATTATAATTTGTCTATTTTCAGCCGCATGGAGTGCCATTAGAGTGGTATTCCCCAATGCTGGCATCAAAGGGTGTTGTTTCCACTGGTGTCAGGCTGTGTTGAGGCACGTCCAATCAACTGGGTTTGGTCCCGCCTTCATGGAAAGAAAGTCGATCTGGGAATACATTAAGAAGCTGCTTGCTCTTCCCTTCCTGCCATCTAATCATATCCGTCCAGTCTCCGAGTCTCTAGCAGCCAAAGCCAACACAGACCAACTTTGCCAACTGGTAAACTACATTAGATCAACTTGGATCGATCCAACACATTCCCCATTCAGAACTGGTCTATCTACCAACACTCAATCCGAACCAACAATGATGTTGAAGGGTTTCATCGCCGACTCAATGGGGATGTAGGTTTCCAGTCATTGTCTTTCTATAAACTTGTCCCAGGAAGCAGGCCAAGGAAGCATAACATGACCTCTATGAACTGTTGGATCATGGAATAGGTCGATTGCAGCGAAAAAATACCGGGTTGTTGAGGAATCTATTCAAAAGGACTGGGAACGATATGCCAATGGTGAAATCAACAGTGCTACTAAACTTTTGCGTGCTATTTCACATTCATATGGAATTGCTGAGTATTCTGTGTAAAGTGAATTTTAGTGAAAATAGTCGACATTCACAAATAGTCACTTCAGTGAAAACAGTGAAAAAGCAAATGAAAACTTGCAAGGTTGAACTAGTGAAAGTGTACAGTGTACATATTGTATTATAGTAATCATAGTGATTAGTCCGAAATGTTTTATATTATTATAGATTTTTAATATTTTGTATTATATACACACAGTATTATATAAAAGAAAATTCAATGTTAGTACATTTAATTTTATTTACTTACATGACAATTTTAGTACATTTAATTTTATTTACTTACATGATTTTTAATATTTTATCTTATTTTTACAAGAGAGTATTTTTCTATTAAAGTATTTAATTTGAAATAATTGGTAATAAATTCATTCTAGCTTGATTTTTTTAAAGCATTTTCAGCAAGTATTTGTAATAGATCTTAATGACAAAATGATAGTTGAATATTTAGTAAATCTGATCATTTTATTTTTATCTGTTTTTCATACATTGATAAATATTTGGTAAATTTTAATTGAATAAGAATGTCATTTTTTAAATAAAATTTCTTAACCAAAATTTAAAAAAAACAACAAATATTCTCTCAATGTCTATCATGCAAATTTATATGATATTGAGTTATCTCAATTATCACTCAATATAATCCAATTAAGGTGTAACAACTTAGGTATCTAAAACAATCTTACTGATATTAATCAATACAGTAAACAATAAAAAAGGAGATGAAACATCCAGGAGGTGTAAAGACCAAAGGTGAAACGTTCAGGAGGTGTAAAGTCCTGAAATCACTCCGGGTACACTGACTCTAGAGGGTAGCAAGACACCACTCCCCCAGACACTTCACCCCTCAAATTTTGAAGACACTTCACCCCTTAAGACACTTCACCCCCCCCCCCCCTATAAATTAAATAAAATATATTGATTAGATAATCAAATTAAAATGGTATAATTGTATGAAAATTAAATTTATTTATAATAAATAAATAAAATGAATATAATAATAAATGAATATGAATGAATGAATCGGTTGCCATACTTCATGTGTTTTCTTTATATATGGCCATTTAGCAAAATTGATTTGCTGATGATGCTTATAAACTTGACACTTGAAGCTATTTTGCAGTTATGATTAATCAAAAATATGAGCTAATTAAACAAAATTATTCAGTAACATTAAATAATATGAATTACTTAAACTATCAATACATGATAATTAATACAATAATCATAATTCATTACAGCTAACAGCCTGAACTTACAGCTTAATTGTATTCCTGTTTTGCTTTCAATCCATTAAACAATTAAAAATACTGTCAATTAAAGACACAAAGTAAGTGTGAAAGAGATAATATACTCTTATTGTATATATCAAAGGAAAATTCACAAAGGTTCACACACTTCACTAGAAAGATTATTCAATTAGTTATATCACTTTTACTTCAATTGAAATTAGTATAAAATATGTAAAAATTAAAAAAAAATACTTTATACTATTAACTTTGTGATATGAGCCTTTTTTGTAGGGCAAAAACAACAATATATCCATTGTCTTTGGTCAGTTACATGATAAAATAATAATAAAATATGTTAAAACAATAAACATACTCAATCACTATTGAATGTATTTAACATTTTCTACATAAATAATTGTTAAACACAAAATAAAAAAATGAGGGGTGAAGTGTCTCAATCAAATTTCTTAAAATGAGGGGTGAACTGTCTAAGGGGTGAAGTGTCTGCAAAAAAGGGCCTAGAGTGAAGTGTCTGGGAGATGAAGTGTCTGTAAGCCCTCTAGAGATGTGTTCAAAAAGTAGTCAAAAATGTAATAATAATTTAAGAAAATATCTTTCCATGTTTCTGAATAAGTCCATATATTAATTATGTGGTTTCAACAATAAAGAGTGATAAAACAAACCAATATGTTAATAAATTGAAAAGTGGACCGAGTTGAAAAAAGATCGAGCTGACTCGGGGCCGAGTACGTTTTAGGGCCGAGCTGACACTGAATCGATGTAATGCACTAAAATTTGCAGTCTATCAAGAGAAATGTATCAATAGCTTTACCAGATTGTGAAGAAAACTTGATTATACATACGGAATAGATTGCAACCAAAATATCAACGTAATAGCTGGGACTTCCTAATTGATAGCAAATCTCCGGAATGAGTGGCCAAGATGGCGATTTCGGGAAAATGACGTCAGAGGAAAAATAGTTCGTATTCATACGCTTACAAATTTTTACTCTGTCATTAACACTTTTTAACCATTTTAAGCTTGAAAGTTATTTAATATGAAAATCGTATTCCATTTTTCCTGAATTATTTTGTTCTATGATAGTTGAATTATTTTGAATTATTTTGTTCTTTGATAGTTAGTTAATTTATGACTTGATAAAATTGGTACTAAATTTATGCAAGTACTTTGGCTCTCATGCATCGGGAACCAGAAGGTAGAACAAATTAACTGGTTCTCATTAATTTTTTATCGACTGCTAGCGTAGTAATATTCAAATCGCGTAAAGCAATGGTATATGTAATTTTGTGATAAAAGGATTTAAAATTTAAAATTTAGTAATAAAATGACCAGTCAATTTTAAAATAGATAAGGTATTATGATTATATGAATAGTATGGCAAAATATTGGAACTATTTTTGCTCAGCGCAGCTAGATAGTCTAGATGCGTTCAATAGGCAGTAAGCTGAATTTATCGTAATTACATTGGGGGCTTGCGCCCCCAAAAATGGGTCAAAGACATGTCACAAATTAAAATTATATGGTAATGGCAGCCGTAAATGTCCAGACCTGAAATCGAATCCCACGATATGATACCATGTGCTGATGCTGTATACCAAATATCAAAAGACTGTGATAAGTAGTTGCTTAGAAAACTGTTACGAAAATTTCTTATTATTGACCATTAATGTAGAAAAATTCACTAAGTCGGCAAAGAGGAAGTGGATAAGCGACAGACCTGAAATCGAATCCCACAGTATGGGACCATGTGTTGATGCTGTATACCAGATATCAAGAGGCTGTGATAAGTAGTTGCTGAGAAAACTGTTACGAAAATTTCTTATTATTGACCATTAATGTAGAAAATTTAACTAAGTCGGCAAACAGGAAGTGGATGAGCGACAGACCTGAAATCGAATCCCACTGTATGGGACAATGTGTTGATGCTGTATACCAAATATCAAGAGGCTGTGATAAGTAGTTGCTGAGAAAACTGTTACGAAAATTTCTTACTATTGACCATTAATGTTGAAAATTTAACTTAGTCGGCAAACAGGAAGTAGATGAGCGACAGACCTGAAATCGAATCCCACAATATGGGACCATGTGTTGATGCTGTATACCAAATATCAAAAGGCTGTGATAAGTAGTTGCTGAGAAAACTGTTAAGAAAGTTTTTTTCCCACCGCCGCCCGCCCGCCGCCCAACATTCACCATAGTGAATATTCGAATATTTCAATCATATCATATCGTATCATATTCCAAACAAATGTGTTGCGATTCTAATGGTGCATATATTTTTCCAAAGTAGCTTCTGTCCAATTTCCGATATGCTTGCAAAAATTGTGACCCAATGCTACATATTTTCCTCTTAGATATATTTTTGCAAGCGTAATTATAAAGGGAAGAGTAAAATGGCTGCATTGAAATGTTTTGTACCATTGCAAACATTTACCTTGGACATGGTTTATGTTGATTATTCAATTATTGAAAGATCTCACAAACAATAAGCAAATACAATGTACCATTAGCCGTGACCCAAAATTACCATAAACAAATGATTCGTGAAACCTCAACCCAAACTTATAATTGTTAGTTTATTAAACTAAGTAAAAGTGAAACATTAAAGAAAGGGCCAAGGTCTAGAGTTAACGGTATTATAATGTTACCCAAGTTTATCCAATGTATCCCTGTCGATGACTCCTTTCACATTGTAAATGAAAGTACTACATATCAGTGTTGTGATGCACAGTAACTTATAGTCGTTATCTGGGGTTTTCTGCAAAAATAATTTAAATTCTTATAATATAATAGGTAAATTTCAGAAGTCATTCAAAGTAAAACGCTACTCTTACCAGCATTTTGTTCTATTATTTACGAAGTACATGTACATGTAATTAATAACAATTTAAAGAATTTAAAGATAAAGACATTTATTTTAAATATCTAAAGAAAGAGTGGTCCACCAGAAGCATCAATCACAACAACAATACCTGAAACATGCAGACTCGGTATGATCGAGTCTGTACATGAGGATAACGAAAAAGTACAACATCTCTCATGCCCTCTAGCACTGGCATGAGCGGTACACAAATTGAACACTTAAAAGTGCTAGAGTCAATTATCCCGAAGGTCCATAAAATATAACAACACTGAAAGTTGATACTTGCAGGTATTTCAAGCAGAATTGTTATAGACCTGTTTCTTAAATAAATTATTCTTACTAAAACAATTTAACAAAAAATGAATATGTTAAGTAGCACTCAAAATATTGCTTAATATTGCATCATGATACCGAATGAGTTAAAATGTCAGTACAAAATAAAACGTGGAATATTGTAAAGCAATGGGAATTTATGATAAGTTTGCTTCTTTGAAAAGAAGGATGCGAGAGGTATTTTAACAGCTGTGAAAGATTTGTTTAATTGTTTATATGGCGGGAAAGTAATAAATTCTGATTGTTCGAATTGCATCTGTGAACAAAGGCAATTTAAAAATCGCTATTTCCGCCAGTCTCCGGATAAACTCTTCTTAGGAATATTCGGCGAGATGTTCCAAAGTTAAAGGACAATTAAATTTTTTGTAGACGGTTCACTCGGTCATATAATGGTGCTTGGTGGTTTTGTAGCTATAGTGTTTACTATTCAGAAAACAATAATCAGTTTATAAGATTTTTAAAAAGATCAAAGTCAAAGTTAATTTTTCGTTGAAGTAAAGTTGTATTTTATTTCGGAACACGCGCATAAAAGATTTTGGGGACTGATTCTAATGAGTTTATACTAATTAGACACAAAATACCGGTTTCGCATGTAAGTTATTCTATCTTTATTCAAATAATTAATTATTTACTTATTATTCGTACCATTTTGTAAATAAATTTTGAATTTCTTTCCATTATTATCTCGACATCCTGTCGATGGAAGTTATTTTTTCGTCAAATAGAAAAATGTACACCAAATATCTCAATATCTAAAAAATTTACACGTAAATGCTTATTATAACACTTTCAATCAGTAAGATACCAGGAAGTATTATATAAACTTAACATATAACATATAACTTATACAATTTCTTCAAAGTCAATCATATAGATAAAATATAACAAAAAAAGCCATTTAATGATAGATTTTTACATATTTTACATAAAATATTCTTCCAAACATATACTATATAGTTTAACATTATTTTTATATGATTGTGTACATACTTTAGTAAAATAATCCACATTTAACACTTTCACAGTATCACGTTACTTAACACGGTGTAGGCTGCTGTTCCAGCGAATCTAACGCAAGCAATTTTTTTTTCTTAATTTTGACCTTTGATCATGAAATAACCCTGAAACTTCTTTTCTTTAATTGTATCATCTATTTCCTATGCTAAATAGTCATATAATGGAAGTTATTCCATCTGATAAACGGTAAAGAAAAACCAATGCTTGGTGAACATTTAAAAATTTGGCGAATTTGGACGAAACGGAAGTTCTAAACCGACACAATGGTTTCAAATCTTATACCAATATGGTTCACGTATTTTTATTTATAAATATATCATTAAATGAAAAAAAGCCTTATAACCATATGAAAATTTACTGACAATTCAGTAATACCATATATCTTATTTATGATTTGAAAAAAAAAATGACTTCATCTGTAACATCATAAAGATTTCAAGATTTTATTCAATCAAACAAGAAGGTCTTAAACCCATGTGGTACATCATATCAACAGCCTAAATACATAACAATTTTGACAACGCTGCTGAAACTATATAAAATAAATGAAATAAGTCTGATTTAAATGATCCTTAATCAACATCTTGAAAATTGTTGGGAATATTAAGCCCCATCTTGTATTTATTGAAGGTGCAATCATCTGAAGCGCGCAAATACCTTTCAACGTCAAAATAAAGGGAATATTATGAATTTGCAGTTAACTACTTTTTTACTATTTAAAGTACAAATATGTATTTTGCTACAATAAGGTAAAGGGCATGCCGAAGAAATTTTTCAAAAAAAATCGAAGGTTGGGGCTCTTTCTGATAAACTAATGTTCTTAAACCTTGTCTGCATCTCCGATTCCTTCAGTATCGAGGAGAACCATCACTTGATCTCTGTAGACGGGGTGTATCAAACACCACACCCAAATACCTTTCGTTTTCGAATTCACTCCATTTCCAAGAGTAAATCCTGTAAAATAAAGCTTATGTTTGGTTTTAAAAAGACTGTTAAAGCCATGTATCAAATTGTAGCTTAAAAGTTGAAATGATTATCAAATATGTCTTCGTGCTTTATTTTAGGAAAACAATTTCATTTGAATAGAATCGTCTACCTACGTAAACTAGTTTTTGTCCCTCACAAATACAAAGCATTTCGTGGCAACATATACATGTATAAATTTTGATTATTTAATAATGAATGAATTGCTTAATGTCCTGATGAAAACATTCGCTGCAAATAAAAAAATTGTAAAATATTATTGTACCATGTTTATTCTTGGCTAATCTGTTCATCAAGTAGGATTTGCCAGTTCTGCATGGTCCAGTAATCGCAATCACATTCACTGTTCTATTGATCTGTGAAATCTGATTCAAGACATCTTCATCAATTGAAAAACTACCGTTTGCTTCGTTTTTAACAAGACGTAGTGGTTCCTGAAACACAGGAAGTGATGTAAACTTGTCCCTGAAAATAAAGAGGTAAAGCTAACACATCATTTAATGTATTTAAAGTATTACGAAAAACATTTACTGCCTGTACACTGGTTGATTACTTTATATTGTTTTGATTGAAACACTATCACGGTATGGGAATCAACGATATCGTCTTCTTGACATTGTGCTGTGATTGACACAGGATGAAATGTATTGGAAATTTAATTTCTCTGGCTTTGTAACACCGCAAAACGTCCGTACCGCAAAACGTACGCGTGTACGCCAGAAAGAATGTGGACGATATGCGCCCCAAAACGTCCATATACGTACGTTTTGCGGTACGGACGTTTTGCGGTGTTACATGGCTTATTACCTAATGACATGTTGTGGATACTTAAGGCGACTGATTTCGTGTGGTGGTTTATAGACTGACGGAATTAGTTTGTATGACTTGCAGGTTTCTTTTGCAAACTTTGTTTAAACTCTGTTTCTAGGTATTTTATCGAAATTTCATTTACACATACCATACTAATAGAAAAAATTAATATATTGGCGTTTGTTTCCAACATCAAACATTGGCACATCATCTCTGGGGTGACGACAAAGCTCATGAATTGACTAGGTTGACTCAGATCCAAGGAACAAAGTTTTTATTTCAAAGTAATTTGTCTCGCCCGCTTCTAGTAGATAGACTTTCTACACTTAATACATAACAACATAACATAATTTATTATATTGCAAACACAACGTCTTTCTGATTTCAGCTCGGCTTTAAATTCAAAGTGATTGCTGTTGACCTTCAAGCAAAGTATCCGGCGAAACTGATAGATATATGACTAAATTGGACAACCTTTTTACGATCATTTCTACAGAGTTTTATCGAAATCTACCAAGCTGTAGAAGAAATTGTTTCATTTTAGCTCTAGAGACCAACTTGTTTAACAGATTAAAACCATTTTAGAATTTCTGTAAATGACGACATGAAGATCATTGCACATAACACTGCACATAATTCGAAGAAATTTGAAAAAAAAGATTAATTGCCATTGATTAGGTAATCAATTGTAATATCAATTACCCCTCTTCTGGAACCTCTTCAGACGTGTTGGTAACAGACACATTGTTTCGCGACCTGCAATGGATTCAGCATTGTAATTTAAGATAAGAGAGTGCAAAATAAAGTACATGTAAGTATAACGAGGGGAGTTATTTAAGTTCGCAGAACTCGGTATTTTTTATGTACAATTTGTTCATTTATTTATTTTTTCTATCTTTTTATTTTATTTTGTGCAGCTTAAACATGTGTCGGTTGAATGTTATCAGCTGTTCAATCAACACGCACATGTTTTGCTCTTATCTTCTGTTTGAAAACTTACAACCTACACCCATAGGCAAAAACGAAAGTTAGCTATCAAGTTCACAGCAGACTCAGTAAGGAGGAGACCTACGCCAAAACAAAATATATCGCCGCATGATGTAAATGATATGGCAATGTGGAAAGCAGAATTAAAACGCGGACAAGGCTCCATAGAATATGGCCCAAAACAAGCTTGCCCTGCTGATGTCAACAGCCGGGAGATGATGGATCGTGTTTAGAGACTTGTGCTAAATCATCACCGAATCAGTTAATCATTACACGAACTTGCTTCAGAATGCTCTATTTCTAATGGAACATGAACATTTAGGCATGTCAAAAGTATCTACCAAGTACTTTTCGCGACATGCTTGCAAGCAATCCCGACACAATGGCACTGCATATTTTTGTCAAAATCTTGCCGCAAAAATATCTGTAAATATAACAGGTAAAGAAGGAAAGAAAGTGTGTGTAAATATGCAATAAATTCATTGTTGAAGTTCTATGTTTAGACATGTGAAGGTAATCACTAAAAATGTAACGCGCTGGAAATAGGTACGGAAACAAATCAGGCATAATTTAGTATATAATAAATAATAATTGGTTTCTTCTATTCGTGTTGGTAGTTTCATTTGGATACTATTACTTTTTTATTTAAGCATTCTTTGAATTTTGTTTGTTATGCGTGAACTTATAAATGTCTGTAATAATTACCATGTAAGCCAAGACTTAAAGGCAAAGGTTAAACGGGAGAAAATAATGCAGTAAATATACACTGAAACTGCTGTGATATGGGCTGTGGAGTCGCCTCCACCTATTTACATTGTTTTCTCTTGTTATTCAGATTGTTTGTGTGTTTGTTTGGGCTGTTAGCGCGAGCGTGCGTGCGTGCGTGCGTGTGTGTGTGTGTGTGTTTAATCTTTCCAAAATGACTATTCTTGTATGTTATATTTTATCATCGTTGTGTTGGGAACGTAAACATGTATAGATGAGACTATCAGATTAAATAAAATAAACACACATTTATAGTTTCACGGGGGAGAATCACGCCGTTCGTTACCCAAACAAACAAGATGGCGGATGCAGCCAAAAAGTAAGTTTTTCCCTTTTTTCTCTGAAATTCGTGATGTTCTGATGTTAAAATACATATAACAACCTTCTCCACAATTTTCCTGGCACACAGGATTTTATTTCATGATGTTTCGTCCCGTACTACATATGAAATGCGCGTCACCACATTCGAAGTGAGAGAATTTTCCACCGGTTTGATCGTGATAACGTACGACCTTTTCTCTATAATTCACTGTTTCGTTTTCATATATGTATATTAACTGAAACCACTGACTTTAAAAAGTTGTAATATGTCGTCATCTACGCATTCATGCCCATTCTGGCTAGAATGAACGCTGAAAATATTAATAGCGGGGCATTTCTTGAAATGATACCGTATGGCGCACAGAATATCAATGGTAACGTACGGCGCATTTTTTTCTGATAAATTGATTTTCATTATAATAGACAAGTTATGTTTACAAGACATAAGAGGATGTGTAGAACCAAATTAAGAATCTGAAATAAATAATATTAGTGTCCAACTTGTCATCAAATGAAAGCGTTGTATTTCTTGTGTAAATTAGTTTTCATAGAAGAACAAAAGTCGTAGCTTAAGGTCTTCAGCGTACCCGTTTATATACTATGACATGACGTGAACGCTGAAGATAACCCCATAGGGAAAGTGCACCAATAATCGTGCCAGGAATCTGACACGCTCGTATTTATTCATCGAACATGCCATGAAGTAAAGTGAAGCATACCTTGATAAAACTATATATAATCTGTTGATAAGCCGAGGATGGACAAATAAAAATCTTATTACGAACATAAACTACCTAATAGTTTCCGACAGGTAAAATTTTTCGGCACTTGGCCGCCATATTGCCAAAATGTTTGATCACGTGATTACGAGATTGACCTTTACGAATCCATGTGCCTCCAATATTTTTATAAATTACTTTTTTTTAAAGATATTGAAAAAGGTGATTTACTGACTTTTATATTCAATACAATCGTATTTAAGTACTAAAAAATTAATAAAAATAAATAAAAACATTATCTTGAATAAAAGTATCGAAATCATGTCAACAAAATGTTCTAAATATAGAACACACTTACAAACTTGCTTGCATAATTTCAGTCGGCCATATTCCCTAGCCATGAAAGATAACTCCCTGTTTCCCTGTCTAAAATTCCACCAAATTATTCCCCTTTTAAATGAACTCAAAGAAGGGACCTTTTAAAAAGACTTTGTATTTATTTATTCGATTTTTTGTTCAGAAACAGAATTTTTTTTCTTTACCTTTGTTTAATTTGCTTTCTATCAATATATGGTTCCTATGGTAAACATATGAGTTTTGATGGTAAACAAATGAATTTTCTGAACCGAAAGTAATCTAACACACAGCGTTGCTGTCATCACATGTAAACAATACATAAAATCGGTAAGAATATTGAGATATTTGTTTGACTATCAGTTTCAATATGGAAAACAACTATGTGTAGTTTATGTGTATTGTTTTAATGTGTTTGTCTGATATTTTAGTTGTAAAAGCCATGTACACTTAGTGTCGCTTCATAGCAACTGATTTAAAACGTGAGCGGTAACTGAACGAGATGTGGCAAAGCGCATGCTCGCGCACTGACTTCCGCTCTATCGAAATATTGCATAGACGTATAGCGAAAGTTCGTAAGTGGAACACGAGTCTATTCAAATCTGTTCCCGCGAATGACGTCATACGAGATCTCGCGTGGCACCTGAATGTCATGGCCAACTGTAGACGGCGTAAATTGATATTTTACTGTTAAATAGGCAATTTTAATGACGGTATTAACATTTTGATACTTTAATTGGTATAGAATGATATTAAAATGATTGTTTTATCGTAAAATGCACAAGAATTGATTGGGTTAAGTGTATTTGCAAGTGAAAAACAAGAATAAATCAACTTATGTTATTCTGGTTAGGTTTCGTAACGGGTCTAATCCAAAACTTTAATGCCGCATCAGATGAAAAACAAAAATATTAAAAAGCGGCTTATAAAGTTTTGGAAGCCAGAACTACAAAAGTCGATGATATATCAAAGTCCGTTCATAGGAGCCTTTTATTTTTCATAGTGCTTCATAGAACCGCGTTTGTGCAAATTGATAGGTAAAGTGACGAAATAAAGTTTTTATTAATGAAGCCAAATAAAGCTTGACACTAAGTCCGTAGCTGTTTTACAGAAATAAGAAATATTCTCCGGTCACTATCGCTCCCGTCGAAGTTTCTTATTTCTGTAGAACAACACGGATGAACACTTACAAATATTTCGTAAACACTAGTTTTAGAGTAGCGTAATGGTTTTTAAAACCGTTCTTTCATAAAGATAATGACGTCAACAAAGCGCATGAGCGGTCTGGCATTAAAGGTTTCAGACGGGTTATCCGGCATGGATAAAAATCCAAATATGATTTGAAACTTTATAATCACTGCGGTATACCGTACCCCGGATATTGCTCGATATTATGAGGACTTTCATCCCATTTCGCGACTTTGAACGAGGAAAGAAGGTATGTTGATGACGATATTTAGTCATTTTTAATTGGTTTGATATAAATTTTGTAGAAAAACAAATACTTTGATGATTTCTCTCTTACTGAAACCCCAAAAATGTTGAGAAATAGCTTTTAAATGTAATTAGGAGGTAAAATTCTTCTCTTTGCTCACGTGATAAATGAGCTCGGATCAGTCAAATTTGATGTTTTTGTGCATATACTTCCTTAAAAGAAAAACTTGAATCGAGTGAAATGTGATAATGATGATAATGTTGATGTTGTAAATGTTCAATCAACAATAGAACCTCAGATGACAGTGCATTTTGAGAATAAATACACATGTCAGTGTACTGAGTATTGCGTTGGAGTTGCCCGCCGGTGTCACAGGTATTGCTTTTTAGTGTAACGAGTATTGGTTAACAATAAAGAGTAAATGCAAGTAGTAAACACAAAGTATTTACCACATTTAATTTTAGATATGTCTTACTGTGTATACTTATTTACACTATATGTGCAGAATATGCAGAATTCGGAGGTACTCTACTGGAAACATCTGCAAATAATCCAGATTTTCATTCCTGCTCGTGAAAAATCTCAGCCGAACGAACTCAGCAATTTTCTGTGTTTAAAATGTTCTCGTTGCTATCGAAGGATCAACCTTTCCAGAATTTGTTAATAATTATTGCATATCTTACTTAAATAGTAAATAAATGCATCCAAAGTGCATTAATAGTGCCTCAAGATTGTCAGTATTAGACGGTATTGAGCAAGTGTGCCAATATCTAATATCAACCGACTTCCTACTATGCCAAAAATCCATATAAAGGTAACTTTCGGGCATTTTGCACCTGCACTCTAGCAACGGCAGATCGTCTGCTCTTGAAATTGTGTTACGCCATTAGCAATGAGTTACCGTATGACTGCCGAGCGGGTACAGTTAAAATAACCGAATAATGGATTTTGATAAGATTATGAAAAAAGGGCAGCAGATGCAATAAAAAGGTTATGTTCCTTGTAACCTTTTATCTCAGAAAGGCGTGTTTTGAAGGCTTTACATCCCACCCTTTTGAGGCCTCAAATAGTGTAAAACATGCACTATTTAGGCCCCAAACACAGTTTTTTCGTTTGAGAAATGTTGTTCAAAAGAGTGGTCACTTTTTCGGCGCCACCCCCACTAAAATGGTACA